GGTTCTGATATTTAGATCTATGATCCACTTTGATCAATTTTTGCACATAGTGTGATATAAGAGTCTAAGTTATTTTTTGCTTCCCTAATTTTTCACATACCATTTTTTGGGAAAGATTGGTATTTCCCCACTGAATTGCTTGGAATCTTTGTGGGGAAATCAATTGACCACAAATATAAGGGTTAACTAATTCAGTCATTCTAGATACAGGCTTATCAAGTTTGTTGATCTTTTTTGGGGGGTACTGAGGGCTGAACTTTGGGTCACTCAACCACTGAGCCACATTCCCAGCCCCTTTTTATATTTTATTTAGAGACAGGATCTCACTGAATTGCTTAGGGCCTCCTTGTTTGCTGAGGTTATCTTTGAACTTGAGATCCTCCTGCGTCAGCCTCATGAGCTAATGGGATTATAGGCATACGCCATGGTGCCTGGAAAGTTTGTTGATCTTTTAAAACAATTTTTAGGTTCACTGATTTGCTCTATTCTTTTTCTGTTTGCTATTCCATTGATTTCTACTCTGATATTTTTTATTTCCTTCTTTAGGTTTGATTTTTTTTCTGGCTTCTTGAAGTGAAGCTGAGATTATTGACTTTACTAATTTAACCATTAAAGGCTATAAAAATTTCCTTATAAGCACTGCATTAGTTTCACTTCACGAGCTGTATAATGCTGCACTTTCATTTTTTTATTCCATTTAATATAATTTCTAACCTTTGGTAATATTTCTTTTTTGACTCATATTTCTTTTTTGACTCATAAGCATGTTAATTAATTCCCAAATATTTGTAATTGTCTGCATTCATTTCTTATGAGTGTCATAACAAATTAGTAGAAACTTGGAAGATTTAAATAACAACAAAAAAAATATTGTCCTAGAATTCTGGAGATCCCAAGTCCAAAATCAAGATTTGGCAAACTATGTTTCCACCAAAGGCTTTCAGAAACAGTCTGCCTCTTCCTTTTTCTTCTCTCTTTTAATTTTATTGTTTATTTATTTACTTATTTATTTGGTACCAGGGCACTTAACCACTGAGCCACATTCCCAAGTCTTTTTATGTTTTATTTTGAGACAGAGCCTCACTAAATTGCTTAGGCTGGCTTTGAAGTCAAGATCCTCCTTTCTCAGTCTCCTGAGCCGCTGGTGTGCACTACCATGTCCAGCTCTTTTTTTTATTTTTTCCTTGCCTTTTCCAGTATGGTTGCTCCAGGTGTTCTTTGGCTTGTGGCTACATAAATCTCTGCCGCCACCATCCCATTGCCTCCTCCTCTCCTGTGTGTGTCATTGGATTTAAGGTCCACTTAGATCTTCATTTTAAGATCTTTATTTATCTTAATTACATCTGCAAATAACTTTTTCCCAAATAAGGCAATATTTACAGGTTCTAGGATTCTGGACGTGGACTTTTTTTTTTTTTTCTAGAGGCTACTGTTCCATCCACCACATTATCTATTTAAATTCCAAATATATTTAAACCCACAAACTAGTATTTTTGCTTTATATAGTCATTTACGTAGCATGTTCTTTGCTTTTCTTCCTTACTGCATCTTTGTGTTTCTTTCTAGGATAATTTTCCTTCAGCCTAAAGAATGACTTTTTAATATGTGGCTTGGAGGCAAACTGTTTTTATTTGTCTGAAAATGACTATTCTGCTTCCATTCTGGGAGAATATTTTATTGGGTGGAGGACTCTTTCTTAGCAGTTCATTATTTTCTTTCAGCACATTGAAAATATCTTCTGCTGGGCACAGTGGCACACTGTAATCCCAGCAACTTGGGAGGCTGAGTCTAGAGGATCAAAAGTTTGAGCAAGGCAGCCTCAACAATTTAGCAAGACCTTGTCTGAAAATAAAATAATGCAAAAGGGCTGGAGATGGGGCTAGGGTTGTAGCTCAGTGGTAGAGCGGCTGCCTAGCATGCATGAGGCACTATGTTTGATCCTCAGCACCACATAAAATAAATAAATGAAATAAAGGAATTATCTCCATCTACAACTAAAAAAAGGGGGTGGTACCTGGAGATGTAGTTTACTGGTAAAGTGCTCCAGTACAGCCTCCTGTCCTCCATCAAAAAAAAGAAAGTATCTTCTTTTCTGGCTAGGCTGGTAACCCTTAACAAGTCAGCTACTCTTCTCACTGATATACCAATGGTTGTCTATTTCTCATAAAGGGTTGCTTTTAATATTTTCTCTTTGATTTTATTTTCTGAATTTTTACTCCAATCATACCTAGATTTGAATTTACTTTTTCTTAATGTGTCTGAGTTCATTTCATTGACTCAATATATTTTATTAGTTCTGGGAAACTCTTAAGTCTTTATTTACTTTACTGTCTCTGTCCTTCTTCCTTTTTCTCTCTTATTTAATAAAGTGTAGCTTTGACCTCTTCATTTTATCCATATGTCTCTTTTCTTCTTCTTTTCTTTTTGTATTTTCCTTTTTTAAATATTTTTCCTATTTTAAAAATTGTTGATGGACCTTTATTTTGTATGTATGTATGTAGTTATGTATATATGAATATGCAGTATTGAGAATCAAACCCAGTGCCTTACACATGTTAGGCAAGCTCTCTACAAGCTGACCTATAACCCCAGCCCTGAATTTTCCTTCCTGTCTCTGCTTGCTTTACTCTGGGTATTTTCATTAATTCTCATGTCAGTTTCAACCTATCTCTTTCAACCTATCTCTTTCTTTAAGTTTCTGTATTTATTACTTCTATAATTTATATTAGTTCACTTCTAAATCTGTTACATATTTTAAAAATATTTTGTAATGATTTAGAAAAAAACAAATGGGTGCACAAATTCTTAAGCAAAATGACACAATGAGCAAGATATTTGTACAATCTCTAAATAAAACTTCTCATAGATTATGCAATGATTACAAAGGAAAAAAGGTAATTTGACAGATCCTTTTTTTTTTTTTTTTGGTACCAAAGATTGAACCCAGGGGCACTCAATCACTGAGCCACATCCCCAGTCTTTTTTAATTTTTATTTTTTATTTTGTGACAGGGTTGCTGAGGTTGGCTTTGAACTTGTGATCCTCCTGTCTCAGCCTCCTGAGCTTTAGACGCTTTCTTAACCAAGTGATCAATGCTAACATCACTATAACAGTACAAACTGTCATCATGTACTGCCTAACTATGATGTACTGAGAGGTACACAATATCACTTCTGTGTTATTCCTGTAAAAAAATTCATTATCTAAATCTAATTATGAAAAAGCATCAGAAAATCTAAATTAAGGAACACTCTACAGAAAAACTCACTTATATCTTCCAAAGATAATAATATTATGAGAGTCAAAGAAAAGAGGAAGAAATGTTGCAGGTTAAAGTAGACTAAAGAAAGGTGACTAAATTCAATGCACAATGCTGGACTGAAAAACAATAAACTAACAAACAAACAAACAAAAAAAAAAACGAAAAACAGCTTGATCTAAGGAACTTCATTGGAACAAACAACTAGAAAATTCTCAACATGGACTAGACATGTCCTTGTGGTAAGTTTTGCAAATCTGATAATTATACTACGATAATATAATTCCCCCTTTTTAGGAAAACAATTATAGTAGTAAGAAGGTATAATATTTGCAAATTAAGTGCTTCAGAAAAATGTGATAAAGTAAATAGTGGCAAAACATTAAAAACTGACAAATTTGGGTGAAGGGTATATGTGGTTTTTTTTGGTCTGGGGTTGTGGCTCAGGTAGAGTATTTGACAAGCATGCATGAGGGACTAGGGTTGGAAGAGGATGAGGAAAAGAAAAAAGAAGAGGAGAATGGGATGGGGAGAAGTAAGAAGAAGAACTGAAAATATATGATGTGTGTGTGTGTGTGTGTGTGTGTGAGAGAGAGAGAGAGAGAGAGCACATGCTATTCATGTAGCTTCTCTGTAAGTACAAAATTATTTTAAAACAAAATTACTTTAAAACTTAGGATGCCGGGCTGGGGCTGTAGCTCAGTGGTAGAGTGCTTGCCTAGCATGCATGAGGCACTGAGTTCAATCCTCAGTACCACATAAAAATAAACAAGTAAAAAAAGTAAGTAAAATATTTAAGATGCCAATTTTCATAGCCCCATTTTTTCCTGAAAACTTAAAGCTCAGCTCTTATCTTCGTGAAGGTAGTAAACACAGTTGTGCAGTTTATGTCAGATAACTCCAGTGTCAAGAATCCTGGTAGACATCAATTCAACCCTTACTCCAAAAAGCAAATTTTGCATCTTAGGATATAAGAGGCTCACAACAGTGCTGCCCTCACAGTCCCAGACAAGAAAGTGGGAAATTCTATCCTGGGCAGACAATTGCTTACCCTGGGCAGACGCTGAATTTGGACTACATGCCTACTTCCCCACCCCAAAAGTCCACCCAAAGCATGGTTCAACCTCTTCTCAGCCTCCTCCATACTGGCAATGTCCCAGGGCTGAAGCTGTTCCAACTCACCTTTCTGAGCTCCAGGCATTTCCCTGGTCTAGGTTAGGTAATTCTTTCCTTTCTTATTGGCACTTTAATGCTTTTAAGAAACATTAAGAAGATATTTTAAAAATATACTTACTTTAGCTTTCTGTCACTCATGGGAGAATTAACCCAAATTACCTAGTTTGCCTTTAGGATGATCTGAAATCATCTATTTTTTATTTATTTTTTATTCAAAGCCTTACCATAATTTTTTAAAATTTTTGAATTAACTTCACAAATGAACCAGTCACATTCCTCCTAATTCTTTGTAACAATAATTCCCAAGACCCTGAAACAAATCAACATTTTACAAATAGTAGGTCACTAAACTAGTTAGCCAACTAGCTACATATAAAGTCCTTTCACTAAGAATTCCAGCCTTGGTTGGCCTAACCCTCATACTTGTAATCCAAGTCAGGCTTAGAGACTTACATACTAACATCTCATTAAAAGATTAACAAGGCCAGATAAAGCCAGTCAGTAATTAGCTTTATAAAATCATTAAATGATTAAATAGAAAATTTAGATTTTAGAAAGACAATACCATTTATAGGATGTGGGAGTTCCTCTTCTTTCAGTGCTGACTGTGATAATGTCATTTCCTTTTCGTTGGTCTGAGTTTTAAGACCATCATCTATGTTAAGCCCTGAGAATTTCCACTCGGTATAGTTCACCTGCTTCCGAATAAGAATAATATTATGTAAGTGGTCATATCTTTGTTTTCTTTCTTTCTTTCTTTCATACTAGTTCTAACACACATATATACACATGTATATGTTATTCTAAGTATAAATTGTAAAGTACATAATATAGTGAATTAAATTGTTTTTTACATAAAGCAAACAATCCAAGGATTCATTAAATTACTTGTCTTTGTGAAAACAAAAGCTAGCCACAAATAGCTATGATTATTACTTATGTATCTTCATCTGCTTCTATCTCTGAGAATAAGGTGTGGGGATACTACAACCCATATTTTAGTTCTTCAGGGGTTTCAAGGTCTTACTTGTAGTGTGTTTCCATTTAAGACATTACGACTAAGATACTCCATTCTATTCTTTCCTTGGACAACTATTTTTTTTCCATGTTTTCTTCTTGAGTAGCTTGCAACCTGGTGTTCCTTTTCTTTTTTCTCTCCCATCTGAGGAAGTTTTCTCTTTGCTTGATACTGGTCAGCTTCAATGGGAATCTCAGAAAATGCTATCTGGTCCTGAATAGAAGAATCAGAGACAAACTTAAAGATGATAGTTTAACAATCTTGATACTCGAGAAAGGGACTTATGAATTAGCATTAGATTTCATTTTTCTCTTGCCATGGAACTGAAAGACACTGTCTCTCCTCTCCACAATAAATACAGGGTTTTGCTCCATCAATAGCCTCCAGAGCTGGGCACAGTGGCACACTCCTGTAATCCCAGCAGCTCAGGAGGCTGACATAGAAGTATCACAAGTTCAAAGCCAGCCTCAGTAACTTAGTGAGACCCTAGATAACTCAGTGTGACCCTGTCTGTTAATAAAGTATGACAAAAGTCTGAGGATATTGTTCAGTGGTTAACCCCCCTGGGTTCAATCCCTGTTACCAAAAAAAAAAAAAAAAATTGTGTCCAGATTAAATTTGCATTAGTCATGACATTCACAAAAGAAAAATTTTTATGCAAATTTTAATAGTGCTCCCTTCAACTCTGCTCCATAGAAATGGCAGAAATCTGCTGCCTCAGGAGTTGGGAGAGCTACCTGGGGAAGAAAATAAGCCCTTTCCTCTGAAAATAATATCTCTAGACTTTCCTTGGTGTCATTTTCCTCAGTCTGAGCCTCTGGTTTCAGGAAGTTCTCGGGTGGTACATAGCAAGCCTTCCAATCCAGTTGTACTTGAACAGAACCATTTGGTTCCTCTGTAGGGTCAGTGAGGTTAAAATCACCTGAGAAACACAGAAACTTTAATAATACCTAAACACATGAAGTAGGCAATGAACATTTATCAGCATCTTATCTATCCCCCCATTTCTTACATTTCATCACATTTTGTTAGAAATTAATTAACATCCATCAAATAATCATGACAAGGATGCACTCAGAAGTAACAAAACAGCAGGGCAGTTAGATGATCCAAGGGAAAGATGGGTATCTCAGATTTCAGGAACAGAGTCAAAAGATGTAGAAAGAGAAATAACAGCTTGCTTGTCATATCAGTCATCTAGTCCATAAAAAAGATTACATTATCATAACTATCATTAAATTCTTACTGAACTATTCCAAGAAAGCAATCACCTACATTCAGGTGGCCCCAAGAACACTTTAGCAAAATGGCTCTTTCCTAAATGCTCGACTTCTGATTTGTAACACTGATTAACAGAGGGGTCATATGACCTCTCCTTCTTTTGGGTAAGCTGGGGCAAAAGTGTCAGTTTTTTTTTTTTAAGTGGTTGTGGTATTAGAAGGAAAGAGGCCTCACACACTTCCAGAAAAAGATGGTTAGTATTGGCTGTACCTATCCACTGTTCCTAACGAGAGCACAGATACCTCTACTTCTCTTAGGACTGTAGTCAGACAGCTGACCCCTCCTAGGTACACTCTACAATAGTTTAGGGGATGAAAATAAAGTAAGATAGAATGAAGCTCAGCTTCATATCCCAAAAATTTGTCTTTGTCATGGTCTGGCTTGGAAGTCTGATTTATATGTAATATTTAAAACAAGTTAAGACAATCACAGGGGAGTGTTAAATTACTATCAGATCTAGTCATGCACTAAGAAACAAGCCTCAGGTAAAGACAAGTACTAGGAAGCACTGCAGACTTTGAAAAGTTTTCCAGAGACACAGGTATGAATTTCAGGTTGGGGGTCAAGCCCCTTGGAAATCCTGATTTTTTTTTTGTTGAATAGGAATGGAAGCCCATGTTTCCACAAAAGCAGTGAGGCTCTAAGTCTTCTGCCCTGTTGCTCTTGACAATATTCTAAAGTCTTCAGCAGCTTGTTTGAAAGACTGTTCCAAGCAAGTGATCAAAGAATAGTAGAACAAGGAGGCAACACTGGGGAGGGAGGGTGTAAAGATGTAACAACCTGGAACTCCCACCTTTAATAGATTTGTTCTGTGCAAGAGACAGCAAGGGCACTTGGACTCTGCCAAGGTAGGAGCCAGGCTCTGAGTCTTCATCATCGAAAACATATATGGACAGGGCCTCCCGCCTCAGATACTCATCCAGGTCAGAGGTCACAAGCACTGGGAATCGAGCCTGGTCTCCAAAGTAGGGATCATTACTGGCTGGAATGATGGCAGTGTCATGGTCAGAAAAGGTGAAGAAGCGGTACATGGCATAGGGACTGGGTTGAGTTCCTAGCCTTCGATTCCGGAGACCACGGCACCTGGTGATTTCGATCCGCAGCTCATTCTGATGTTTCAAGGCTTCTGATCTGGACTGGAAAGATGTTGGTCTTGGATTGAGGAAGAGGGCAGCCTGAGAGTATCATAGGTAAGGCCCAACCCATGGTGAGGAAGAGCTACAATCTAGAGAGCTGCTATCCTGACTGGGTCACAAACCTAATGCCCTTCACCTGCATGCCCACCGGCTCTGGCAGTTATCCAGGGGGAGATGCCAGTCCTCAGGCCCTATCTTAGTGATAGAGAAGCTATCTTGTGGTCACTAGCTCCTAGGGCATGATTTCATTCGAAACTCAAGTTTGACCAAGGGAAGTATCTGAACTAGTTTTGGTGTGGCTGCTTTTTTCTTTCATTCACATTCAACAAATATTCTTTGAGAGTGAAGACTGAACTGTTCTCATGAGCTGTTTGGTTGAGGCTCCTTGGAGTTGCTTGGGCACATCTTTTTTCTCACCTCATCCTCCTGAGCCTTCCAGGCATCAAGCACATTGGCTGACAGGTAGGCCTGGGCTTTCTTTTGTTTATTGCATGCCCATAGGTTGGATCTTAGGGGCAAGCGTAGCCTCATCCAGTACTCTAGCACCCCGCAGTCTTCTCCAGCAGCTCCTGGGTAGCGGAAAGTATGAAAGGTATGGAGAATACAGATGGTGTGGCAAGGATTGGGAATAAAGACAGAGAATGAAAAAAGGAAACCACTGGAAAAGAAACTATGGGCTTTGGGAGATTCTGCATTGGTCCTAGGAGCTGTAGGAAGCTGATAGCACTTACCAGTAAGTACAGCTGAGCCATGGACTTTCTCCACAGTCTCTAGCACTTTGTCAAAGCAAATCTGTCCAGTCGCAAGAGTATGGTGCTCACTGCCCACAGCCTGATGTAGATCAACCCGGGCTGAAGCCACTTGAAGGTAGTGCAAGAAAAGGGAACCTATGTCCACCACATACTGGGATGTAAAGTCATAAAGGGGCTGTGGTCCCACAGATAATGGGGTACTGTGGGTTTCAAAATCATAGAAGGAATAGGTGCAGAAAGTGGTAGGTTGGATGTCTCCAGCCTGAGTCAGGGCAGCAGGTGTCAAGAAGGCCTGGTGGATATGCAGTTCAAAAAGATTTTCACTCCAATGCAGCAAAGAAATGTCCACTTCATCCTCCGCTCCATGGGCTGACCGTGATTCCAGACACAATGACAACTGTCGAGTGCCATAAGCAACATCTTTGAGTTGTTCTAGAGGAGAAAGAAAACTGCCTATCCATTAAATGGTAGGGAGCTCTTCCTTAGCCTACAGAAAGATACAGAGAAGGAGAATAAAAACATGGTGGAAGTCCATGTTGAGATGATTTCAAGAAACCTCATGATTCAAAGGAAAGAGCAAAAGAAAGACTACCAAGAGCTTTTAATTATGATGACCAAATAGTCAATACTTCTTCAGAGAGAAAATACTGAATGAGTGGCTGGAAAATAAATGCAACTCAGGAAGCACATTTCATCATACAGAGGATATTGTTTTGGTTTACAACAAAGTCAAATGAATTAACCAGTAATTATAAAAGAGACGCACTAGTAACACAAAATGCGAAATTTCTAAAATTTCTGTGTGTTGGCCAAGAGAGATTAACAAGTTACAGACCTGATGTCTATTATACCACATTGGGCCCGGCCAAGAAATGCTTCCCTTTTTCAGCCAGATCAGTTGAAAGAGTTTTTATTCTGTTCTGAAACTGGTTTAATCACCAGCTGCAGTGATGCACACTTATAATCCCAGTGGCTCAGAAGGCTAAGGCAAGAGGATTGGGAATTCAAGGACAGTTTCAGCAATTTAGTGAGGCTTTAAGCAACTTAGTGAGGCCTTGTAGCAAAAAAAAAAAAAAAAAAAGTGCTTGGGGTGCAGTCTCGGTGGTAAAAGCCCCACTTGGTTAAATCCCCAGAAACCCTTTCTCCCAAAAAAAAGAGGCTGGTTTAATTACAGAGGGGAAAAAAAATCACTTCAATTCAGAGGATAATGGAGTAAAAAGTGGAAGAGGAGACTTACTGGAAGTGGGTTGAAATGTTGGTAGTGGGTTGCAAAGATATGTAGTCAGCACCCAATCTGGACATTACTTCTCATGCCCAACCAATCAGAAACTTAGATATATAGTCTACTTCAAATTGAGAGTATTTGAGTCATCACAGCCTGTTGATGGTGAATGTCCTATTTTAAGAGTTAAATCAATAGAATAAAATGTTCTGGATACATTAGAATGTCTTCATGTTAAAACATGAGGTACAGATATTGCATGTACATGCAGTACAGATATGAGCTAATTGATTAATGTGTTCTTAATTTATAAGGTTAATATAATTAGATACAAAATATTTAAAACTTTGCATTACATGACACAAGGCTAATAGTCTAAGCAATAAGATACTACTAAGAAATGGTCAAAGGCCAGGAACTGGCAATTCTCAAAAGGCAAATAACTGGTAAATATGAAAAGCTCTTTAACCTTAGCAGTAATCAGAAAACTGTAAGTTTAAGCAAATGAATCTTCATAAGCAGGGTATTTATCCTGCTTGGTCGTAAGAGAAAAACCCTGAATCTGAAAGACTTGAGAATTTTAATCCAAGGGGGTATTTTCTTTGTTATAATATGACAGGGACATTTTATTGGACTGACTCTCGAAGAGATAAGTCATGCCCCAGAATGACTCATCTCCCTTTATTCTATTTCCATGCTTACTAAGTAATATGCTTATTACTGATTCTCTTGCCAGAAAGAGGGATGCCCTGGTCAGTGTTTCCAAATATTCTAATGGCAATAATGGAACAACCACCATTGTGGATTATTTTTTTATTTAAATATCGATCTCTGGTGAATTTAGTGAGTCAAGCCTCTCATCACTGAGTATGACAATAAAGCCACTTAGTTTCTTGACATATAAGGCCAAGAGCAAACACTGTCCAGCAGTGATGATACTAAAAATAGGATGTAGCACAATATGAAATGCATTAAGTGACAGCTGCCCTGTGACTGTTGACATCCTTGAATTGAAACAAAGATTTTAGAGAAAATCATAAAGAAGTAATAGGAGATGAGTAATAAAGGTGTATTACCTGATAAAAATAGCTCTGCAGGCTTTGGTTGAATATTGAATGGAGAGAGAGAGAGGGGCGGGGGGAGGGAGAGAAGGATAGATTGATTTACCATCCTTAGGGCCAATAGTGATGCTCTCATTCTTGAAATATAATCAACCCGCTGGAAACAATTATTGAGCCTGGTTAAAACTCTCCAGAGAAATCAGAGAAACATAGTGATATTAGTGGAGGAAAGAAGATGTTCATGACATGTTAAAGACACAAAGATGACAGGATAAAGAACAGGAGGGCTAAGTTTAAGGACACAAGAGGCAGCCTTGCACAGAGGTACACAAAGGAGAATACAGGCATTAGCTGGGTGAGGCGGCCCAAGATGAGAACAAAGTACTAGGACTTGCCAGATATTGGAAGGCCATGGCTTCTCAAAATACCTTCCAGCTGCCTGATACGGTTGTTCTTGACGTCTAGGAGCTGACTCAGCCTCTCCAGCTTTTCTTTGTGATCTTTACTTTCGCTGTCAGTTTTTGTCATCATTGCTTCCAGTTCCTCCTAAAACAAAATAATGTCTGAACTTTCCCATCTCAGTGGCCTAGAACACAACAGCCCAGATAGAAAGGTGGCACTTGCTGGGTAAAGAAGACTGCTATCTCCATAACAGGGAAGAGTGAACCACTATAAAAAGGCCTAGCTTCCTCACAGACCCCTCTAGGACTACTTGTGCTAAGGGTGTCATAGGTTAGTATTTCTCTAGGACTGGAAATAATTAAACCAGAAGCTTCACACTTGCCAGTTTTATTAGCCAGCCCCATCTACTGGCTTCTAATGCCAAGGTGCCATGGGCAAGTGTGAGTCCTTAAGTTCTTCTAAGGACAGCACATTCTGGGTTTGCATGGGACAGTGTATCACCTAGTGTTAGCTCTGGAAACTTGGGTCTTGCTTCCTTATCAGTCTTGGGAGTGGTATTATAATTCCCATGTGCCCAATTATCTATCCCTTCCCACACCATTTTTTCCTTGCACCTGATAACACACGTTGATTTTTCGCTGCAGAAGGAGCATGTCTCTGGTCTTTTCTAGTTCTAGTGTGGTCTCTGAATGCAATACTTGCAATTCACTTAGCATCTGGGTCAGTTGTTTTTCTTCTTGTATTTCTGGTTCCCCGTGCTACAGAGAGAAAGACATTTGTGAAAAGCAGTATAAATATGACAAGTAGAGTAACAACTCTTCTCCATAAAGCAGTTGTTGCTAGTAGTAAGATGCAAGCAACAAAATTTACTCCAGTGGAAAAAAAGGGCTTGTGCTACTTCACAAATGCACCTCCTGTCAAGTCCTCATGGTCTGCAGAAGCAGCAGCACCGGAAGATATACAGCCTCTAATGGCAATTTGCTTCTCAGCAGATCAATTCAAGTCCTCATTTGAAAAAGACTCTACATTTTATGAGCTGTGATGCATGGAAAAAAGCAGGTAGATTTCATTAGGCCCTCTCTACTCTTAGCCTTCTCATATATCCTTCCAAATATGGTCCTCAGTCAGGACAAAATATTCAGTGCATTTTAACACCTGCATCTTTCCTAGGGATATTTGCAGAGTTCCCTCTGGAGAGTGGACTTATTCATTTAAAGAGGTTCTTACCGCTATCAGAGCTGTCTCTAGGAACAGATCTGGGTGAGTGTCGGGTTCAGATTGATCATCAGGAGACTCAGGTGTTGTGGCTGTCATTTGAAGGATCTCTACTTCCTGTTTATGATTCTGAAGGATGTTGGTAACTTCAAGCTTCAGAACCTTGTTTTGAGCTGGAGAAAAAATAATCCAGAAAGTTACTGGTAATCATAATCAGTCAGATCCCACTAACGTTCATTTCATTTCATAAATTTGCCCTAAGAGAAATAATTCTCTTATTTCTACAAAGGAATTTTACTTTGTTGACTCAGTAAACAGGATTGTTTTCTGGTCTGGGGGCTAAACTCAGGGTGCTTCACTCCTGAGATACATCCCTAATCCTTTTTTTTTTTTTTTTTTTGTGACAGGGTCTTGCCAAGTTGCTTAGGGCCACCAAACTGCTGAGGCCGGCTTTGATTTGCGATCCTCCTGCCTCATCGTCCTCAGCTGTTGAAATTATAGGCATGTGCCACTACACCCGTCCCTCTGCCTCTTTGATTCTTGATTTGTATTTCTTTTCCTTCACTCTCCTATGAATACAATAGAATCAGATGACATGCAAAATTGTTAAGAATACACAGTAAGGTACAGAATAGGAAGAAGCAGCAAGATAAAGATCTTTTTGACAGTGTTTTAAAATATTCCAAATAATTATTGCCTGTGATCCAAGAGTTAAGATAGCAGGTAAAATGTTAGTAGTAATAAAAATTAGTAATTTGTTTCTCAATCTCAAATATTAGGGCTTAAAAAAAAGAATTCTCCTACTCACACTTAAATGATTGATGAGAATGACAAAACACAGAGAAATTCATTTTAATACCTTTATATCAATAAAGTGAATGTTTAAAATAACAAATTAAAATTCAGCATCCTCCCAAATAGAAAGACACTACATAGGAAAAAGTATACACAGGAGGTAGGTAGGTGTCATGTCTTCCTGATAGTAAATCTGACCTGATATCCAGTGTTTTTATTCTAGTCATCTATGATCCACAAAAGAATAGGATCAAGAAGAAATGAAAGCCCAAGTTCCCTTCTACTGAACCAAATGTAGGGGGTGCCACACTTAGAGCTCTCCCAGACCTGATTTACCTTTCTCACTGGACAGCTGATCTAAGACCTTTTTCTTCTCCTCCAGCTCAGCATCCAGCTGATCCTGCAACTGACATACTTGCTGCCTCAGCTGTTCTCCCAGGAACTCATTGCTCCAGTGAGGCTGATTACTGCTGTCCAGCATGCTGAAAATGGGAAGGGAGTTGTCAGATGGATATTCAAAGGTGCGTGGTATGATGTCTTCACTACACAGTTTTGACATCTCCTGGGTCTAGTTCATCATTCATTTCTCTACATGTTTGTTCTGCCCCTACTTTATTTGTAACTGTCATTCACCAACTGCTTTGGAACTTTTGGGTTCCACTGAGGAGTTGCTTGGCATCACTTCTGTTTAGGTCTCAAGTGTCTCACTGAGCAACCACTCCAAGTCATATGCATTGCCTAGCACAGTGACTTTCTTTAAGCAGGGCACTGTGTATCAAGATATGCTCAGGACTGCTGGATTAGAAAGGAGAAACAAAATCTTCCTCTTCTCACCTCATTCCTCTAGACCCTTGCCAATGGCTAGTTAATGGAATAGTTGCCTTGGAGCTAGATGCAAGTTACTACATTGAAGGGCAGGAACCAAACTTTTCAACAACTGAACCCTCCATTCCATAGTGTCTAGCTGTCAGGCACAACTGTTTTGAGTATAAAACACACATGGCCAGTTCTTTAGCATTTACACAAAGGAAATGACATTGACATAAATTATTTCTGCTTCTTTTTCCTATTGATCGGTTTAATAAATGTCATCTGAAAATAACTTGCTCAAGATATTATTAAGATTTCTTGGCACTTCCTGACCCATATGGTGACCCAAGAAGATAATATTCTGACTGATGAGGGAAAGAAGCCAATAGTAATATCTGCCACAGAGGTTCTTCAGAATGAATAACCCCCACACTGCTTCATTTTGCTGAGTTGAACATCAGTTGTTCCCAGGACACTACTGTAAGACCCCATGCTGTTTCACTAATCTTCCCCTTGCTTGCTGTCTTTAACTATGTCAGAAGGTACTTTTGATTTTTTTAAGTACTTTTCTTTTTTTTAACATTTTTTTTTTTTTAGTTTTAGGTGGACACAACATCTTTATTTCATTTTTATGTGGTGCTGAGAATCGAACCCAGTGCCTCACACATGCTAGGCAAGTGTGCTACCACTTGAGCCACATCCCCAGCCCACTTTTGATTTTTTTTAGTATTTGTTTTTTAGGTGTAGATGGATACAACACAATGCCTTTATTTTTATGAGGTGCTGAGGATCGAACCCGGGTCTCGCCTGTGCTAGGCGAACACTCTACCACTGAGCCACAATCCCAGCCCAGTACTTTTGATTTTTATAATCTTCTAGGCAGGTTAATGACAAAATTAATACATGAATATATGTTCACTGTGAAAAATTAAAATAATGGGCCAAGCGTGGTGGCCCACGCTTGTAATCTCAGCAGCTCGGGAGGCTGAGGCAGGAGAATCACGAGTTTAAAGCCAGCCTCAGCAAAAGTAAGGCACTAAGCAACTCAGTGAGACCCTATCTCTAAATAAAATACAAAATAGAGCTGGGGATGTGGTTCAGTGGTTGAGTGCCCCTGGGTTCAATCCCCGTACCCACCCCACAAAAAAATTATAGATACACACACACATATAAACTAGGTTAGAGGTAACATATCCCTTCACATCTTATTTTTCCTTTGAACAATATATCTACGTCTTTCTTTTTTCTTCTTTTTCCTCTTCTTTTTTCATGGTACTGGGGATTGATTATAGGTACCCTATCCCAGAGCTACATCCTCAGTACCCACCCTTTTTTTTCAATATTCAGACTAAGTTAATGAGGCTGGCCTTGAATTTGTGATCTTCCTACCTCAGACTCCTGAATCACCAGAATTACAGGTGTGCACCACCACACCAGACTTATCTACTTCATTTTAATTTTATTTATTTGTTTTTTTTTTTTTTTTTTTTTTTTTTTACTGGGGATTGAACCCAGGAGCAGTCTACCTGAGCTACATTCCCAGACCTTTTTTTATTTTTTATTTTAAGGCAGAGCCTCATCAAGTTGCGTAGGGTCTTGCTAAGTTGCTGAGGCTGACCTCAAACTTTTAAGCTTCCTGCCTCAATCTCCCAAATTGCTAGGATTACAAGCATGCACTACCACTCTTGGCTAATTGTTCATTTTGAACAACTTCATAGCACTTCATTGTGGGGATGCAACATGATTTATTTTCCCTATCAAAGGAAATTTGGATGGTTTTCAGGACTTTTTTTACCACTACTAACTATGCAGTAATAACATTCTTATTATATAGATATTTTTGAATATACAAAATAGGATTGTATTAGTTTTGATTCTAAAAAATGAAATTGCAGGTACAAAAGGTATACATTTAAAAAAATTTTTTAGTTATAGATGGACACAATACCTTTATTTTATGTATTTATTTTTACATGGTACTGAGGATTGAACTCAGTGCCTCACACATACTGGGCAAATGCTCTACTACTGAGCTACAACCCAGCCCTATTTAACATTTTAATATGTAGTGTCAGCATCATAACACCAGACTTCAAATTATACTACAGAGCTGTAGTAACAAAAACTGCATGGTACTGGCATGCAGACCATGGAATAGAAGACACAGAATAGATGACACAGATATATAGTCCTCTGATCCTTGTCAAAGGTGTCAAAAACACAGAGTGGAGAAAAGAAAGCCTTCTTACAGTGCTGAGAAAATGGGTTATCCCTATGTGGAAGAATGAAACTGGACCCTTATCTCTCATCTTACACAAAAATCAATTCAAAATGGATCAAAGACCTAAGAATTAGAATATAAACTAGGCAACTCCTAGAAGAAAACATAGGGTCAACACTCCAGCATATAGGCACAGGCAATAACTTTCTCAATAGGATTGTTAAAATTCAGAAAATAATGCCAAGATTTAATAAATGGGATGGCATCAAATTAAAAAACTTCTGCACATCAAAAGAAATAATTAGGGGCTGGGATGTGGCTCAGGCGGTAGCACGCTCGCCTGGCATGCGTGCGGCCGGGGTTCGATCCTCAGCACCACATACCAACAAAGATGTTGTGTCCGCCGAGAACTAAAAAAATAAATAAATAAATATTCATTTTATGAATGAATTAAATGAATTATTCATTTAATAGAAATGTGAACAGAGAACCTACAGAATGGAAGAAAATCTTTGCTAGCTACTCTTCTGACAGAAGATTAATATCTCAAATAAATGAAGAACTCAAAAACTTAACACCAAAATATCAAATAACCCAACTAATAAATGGGCAAATGAATTTACTATTTCTGAAAAGAAGAAATACAAATGGCCAAAAAAATATATTTTAAAATGTTCAACATCATTGGCAATTGTGGAAATGAAAATCAAAACTACACTGAAATTTCACCTCACATCAGAATGGCAGTCATCAAGAAAGCAAATAATAAATAATAGAGAGGATATGGAAAAAAAGGAAGACTACACTGTTGGTGAGATTGTAAATTAGTACAAGCACTAAGGAAATCAGTATGAAGGTTCCTCAAAAGATAAAAAACAAAACCACCATATGATCCAGCTATGGCGTTCTTTGGTGTTTATCCTAAAGAATTAATGTCATCATATTACAGTGATACATGCACACCCCTGTTTATAGAGCTAAGCTATGGAACCAGCATAGGTGTCCATCAAAAGATGAATGGACAAAGAAAATGTGGTATATATACACAAAGTAATTTTATTCAGCCTTAAAGAAAAATGAAATTGTGTCATTTGCAGGAAAATAGATAGAACTAGAGATCATTATGTCAAACAAAATAAGCCAAACTGTCAGGACACGGTGGTGCATGCCTATAATCCTAGTAGCTAGAGAGGCTGAGGCAGGAGGAGTTCAAAGCCAACCTTGGCAATTTAGTGAGGCACTAAGCAACTCGGCAAGACCTTGTTTCTAAATAAGGGCTGAGGATGTGGTTCAGCGGCTAAACGCAGCTGGGTTCAAACCCTGGCACCAAAAGAAAAAAAAAAAGAAACCAAACTGAGAAGGTCAAGGATCATATGTTTTCTCTCATATATGGAAGCTAGAAAAGAAAAAGAAAAAGAAAGGTGAGGGATTCAGGGATCTCATGAAAATCAAAGGTCAGTAGAGGTGAGGAACAGGAGGGAAAGGGAAAGTACTAGGGAGTGATATTCACTAAATTTTATTGTTATATTGTATGCATGTACAAATATGTAACGACAATCCCATCATTATGTACAACTATAATGCATCAATAAAAAATGTGAAAATAGAAAAAAATAGTGTATAATTCTCTTTCAAAAAGATTGTGTCACCAGGTGCAATAGGCGCATGTCTGTAATCCCAGCAGCTGGGGAGGCCAAGTCAAGAGTATCACAAGTTCAAAGCCAATCTCAGCAATTTAGCAAGGCCCTAAGCAACTTAGCAAGACCCTGTCTCAAAATTAAAAATAAAATGGACTGGGGATGTGACTCAGTTGTTAAGCCCCCCATTGGTCCAATCCCCAATACCAAAAAAAAAAAGAAAAAGACTGTCAGTTTATATTCAATTTATATTCTAACAATATTGAATACCAGTTTCTCAATATATTTATCAATGTTAGATATTATATTTAAAATTCGAGAGGCATTTTATACGACTTTCTTTTTTACAGCAAAAAATGCCCTGAGACCCAAACTTGGTACTCACTTTTCTAAGAGTCTGTCATAACTGTCATTCAGCAATTCTCGTTCTTTCTCCAAATCTTCGACTCTCTCCTGAAACTAAGAATGATGTAAAAGTCCTTGTGATAAAACTTTAAATTTCATTGCTCTGCACAGGTTTTCCCTTTCCCATTGCAGGATGAGGCTTGGATGACACCTTTTTTGTGCTCCTCTCCCTTGTCTATTGAGGAGCCATTGACTAGAAAAATTAAAATGAACGGATGGTGGGCTAGAGACTTTTATTGGAATTGATGATAATTCTCTGAAGTTTTCCTGATGTCTGGATTCCTACTATTGGGGAAGCAGCAAAATATTGAAAAGCAAGGACTTTGGAGAACAGACCGCATAAGTCCCAGTTTTCCTCTAATGATGCAGTAATCTTAAATCAATGATTTAACCACTTAGAACCTCATTGTTTCCATTTAAAAAAAAAAAACACCACAATGTTGCAAAGATACACATTTCTCTGAAATTGGATTGTAGCACATTGGATGAAAATTTCTTATAATTATTATTTACCTCCTTCAGAGTTGTCTGCAAGATAGACACATCTTCTAGTTGGCTCTTCAAGCTCACAGCCTTCTTGCTTTCTTCCTTCAGTTCTTCTCTGAGCTCATTCACTTGGCTGAGTAGGGCATCATGGGCTGCACTCAGGATTCCTTGATTCTGGGGCCAAAGAAAAGTTGCTCTGGGAATAATCATATCACTCCCAGTAGCACTGGTATTCCAAGGTGGATGTCCCAAAGAATGACCTCAATGAGTTGCATATTACCTTTACCCTGTGAGTTAACCTCATTTCACACCATAGCCTTTCTCTGAAAGTACAGTTTCCCCTTTAAGGAGGATTTTCCATTCTGAGCAACTATAATTTGTCAATGGAGCCTGAATTTCCCCAAGGTTCAAATTAACTCCTGGTTCTAAATTAAGTGTTATTTTCCAAAGCTGCTTTAACTTTCTAAAATATCTGATTAGTTTTTATAATGATGTATTTCTTCATTTGCACCTAAGAAAATGACATGTTAGCTTTAGAAGTTGTGAGCATTTTTCTGGAGGACTCCTTCCTCTTGGTGAGGTGCAGCTCGACTGGTCATGCTTAGTCATAATTTGCCTTCATAATTCTTAGTCAGGGATATTCACTGAGCTTCATTGGCACCCCACTTACAGTGGTGAATAGGGCTGTATATCTAATAACATCAGAGAATATCTGTAACATCTTTGTTATATCTTAGTACCTCATGCATGCTAAAAAATACTCTTGGGAATTTTGTTTTGTTTTTGTTTTGGCACCAGGGATTGAACCCAGGGGCATTTAACAACTGACATACATCTCCAACCCTTTTATTTATTTTTTATAATTTTGAGACAGGGCCTTGCTAAGTTGCTGAGGCTATTTATGTTTTATTTTTATTTTTTTAGTTGTAGATGGACACAATACCTTTATTTTATTTATTTATGTGGTGCTGAGGATTGAACCCAGTACCCCACACATACAAAGCAAGCGCTCTACCACTGAGCCACAACCCCAGTTCACTGAGGCTATTTTTTTTAAAGACAGATTCCATCCATATTTTAAATTTGCTTATCATATTTGCTTTTGTTTGTTTTTTTTTTTTAATATTTATTTTTTAGTTCTCGGCGGACACAACATCTTTGTTGGTATGTGGTGCTGAGGATCGAACCTGGGCCGCACACACTCCAGGCGAGCACGCTACCAGTTGAGCCACATCCCCAGCCCTGAGGCTATTTTTTTGAACTAGCAATCCTCCTGCCTCAGCCTCCCAAATTGCTGGGATTACAGGTGTGCTCCAGCTCTCTTGAGAATTTTTGAGCAAATGCTATAATTCTCTTAACAATAAGCTGAAAGATATCATTCAAAATATTTCTCAACTCAGGTCTCATATTTCAATTTTAATGAAAACAGTACATAAATACTAGTACTATCATTATTTGTCTTAATAGAAACTATATGATCATAATAGTTATATAGTTGACTAAATTCTAGTGTTATGTTACTTGGTTTGACTACTCTAATTACTAAGAAACAGATTCAAAAAATCTTTATTAAGTATCTTTTAGAGCAAGGTTTCATATGCCTAGAAGAAATATGAATAATTTTTTTGATATATTAATTTTATAAGTTTGGTATTTTATCTATAATTCAAATGTTTAATATTTATCTTAAAACATATTCTAAGAAATTCCATAAATGAAGTCCATTTGTGTACCTACTTATTAATTGTTGCTGTTTTCCCCCTGCCCTATCTTTTTTTTTTTTTCAAAGAGAGAGAGAGAATTTTTTTTTAATATTTATTTTTTAGTTTTCGGTGGACACAACATCTTTGTTTGTATGTGGTGCTGAGGATCAAACCCCGGCCGCACGCACGCCAGGCTAGCATGCTACCGCTTGAGCCACATCCCCAGCCCTCCCCCTGCCCTATCTTGCCAGGAAGTCTGTGAATATAATCAATTATACCATTCCTTAAAAAGAAAAAAAAATGAAGGGGCCAGGCATGCAATCATGCCTGTAATCCCAACTATTCAGAAGGTTAGGGCAGAAGAACCACAAATTCAAGGCCAGCATGAACACTAGCAAGACTCTGTCTGAAAATAAAATTTTTTAAAAAGGGCTGAGTTGTAGATCAGTGATAGAACACTTGCCCAGCATGTGAGGGGTCTTGGATTCAATCCCTAGTACTGCAAACAGAAAAGGAAAAAATGTCATTTATTTACATTTGCATTGTCTTTGGTGTATTATCCAAGAAAAAGTTTAATCTTAAACTGGGAACTATTTTTTTTTGTAGTTGTAGATGGACAGAATATCTTTATTTTATTTGTTTATTTTTATGTGGTACTAGGGATCAAACCCAGTCCTTCACACATGCTAGACAAGCACTCTGCCACTGAGCTACGGCCCCAGCCCAAGCTAGAAGCTATTTTTTACTCAGTATGCTTCAGTCTCTTTTCAATATAAGGGAAAAGAAACACTCATCATAATAACAGTTGTGGGACTGGAGTTGTAATTGCCTAGCATGTGTGGGGCTCTGGGTTTGATTCTCAGCACCACATACATAAATAAAATAAAGATCCATCAACAAATAAAAATTTTTTTTTAATATTTATTTTTTAGTATTTGGCAGACACAACATCTTTGTCTGTATGTGGTGCTGAGGATCCAACCCAGGCCGCACGCATGCCAGCAGAGCGCGCTACCGCTTGAGCCACATCCCCAGGCCCAAAAAATATTTTTTAAAAAATAATAATAACAATTGTGATTAGTTGAGCAGTTACTATGTGGCTCAGTGATCAAATGCCCCTGAGTTCAATACCTGATACAAAAAAAAAAAGAAGGTTGTATTTTATTCAGAGACAGGTTCTCACTGAGTTGCTTAGCGCCTTGCTTTTACTGAGGGTGGCTTTGAACTTGTGATCCTCCTGCTTCGGCCTCCCTAGCCGCTGGGATTACAGACGTGCACCACCGTGCCCAACTCCTTTCTTTTTTTTTTTTTTTTTGAGATGGGACCTTACTAAGTTGCCTCGCCTGCTCTCCAGTTTAAGATCCTCCTTCTTCAGCCTCCCAAGAAGCTGGGATTACAGGGATGCACTATCACCTCTGGTAGGCTACAGGATGTTTACAAGGTCTATGTTTTGTAGAGTATTATGTATGTCCTTTTTTTTTTCAAGTCTAGTTAATTTTGGTAGCATTTAAAGGATGTAAAAATATGGGAAGAAGATAATCTAAAGTTGTATCAGTAAGTGGCTATTTTTATATTTTGGTATTTTTTTTAAAAATTCATAATATTTCTCCATTGCATTGAAGGAGAAAAAGAAAAAAAGAGACTGGGGTGTTTAGTGGTAGCTTTGTAAAGGCGCTCTTTACTAAAATGCATTTCAAAATATTTCAGACCTTTTTAAGAAGGCTAAGGGATTTTGGGGGGAGAAAAAATGTCGATCAGGGGCTAGGGTTGTGGCTTGGTGGTAGAGCGCTTGCCTAGCAAGTGTGAGGCACAGGGTTCGATCCTCATTGCCAAAAAGCTGATCATATTACTGAGTTGCTTAAACCCTACTCCAGCTCCCCACTGTTTGTAGGATAAAGTCTAACTTCCTACTATGGACTCCATGACCTGGTTCCTGATGTTTCTACCCTTATACCTTGGCTTCTACTCCTACTCCATAAAGCTCTTTCCTCTCTTGCACACTTGTTACCAAGCTAATGATTTTTCAGCATTTAGCTCACAAATCTATTTCTTTATGAGTCCTTTCTGATCATGCACCCCATCCTCTGGTGGGTCTGACTAATCTCTTTACATCCCCTCTCATACCCTAAATACAGATAATTGTGCTTGTTTATAAGCTGTTCTTCTATAAGATCCTTAAAGGCAGGAGCTGTACTACTACTCATTGTTGTAGTCGTTGTATCCCAATGCTTTGTCCTAGTATTCAATACATATTCGGTCAATAGAAGAATGTTGCTGAAGTATTCCTCAGATCTTTGATGCCTTATTTTTGCCATTTAGTGCCAGCCTGACTCAAATCCTGCTCTGCCTCTTACTGATTTTACAACCTGAGTAAGTTGCTTATTGTATTTGAGGGTACAGTTAGTTCCCTTGTCCACTAAATGTACTTACCTGGGGCATTGTTATCAGCATGAAATGAGATCATGACTGTAAGTATCTGAGACAGAGCTGTCTGGCACATAATCTAGCACATAGTGCTTAGGAAAAGCAGACTTCTATTCCTTCCCTGTGACTGCTTTTTTTTTTTTCCCCCTACCCCAGTACTGAGACAGGGACTCACTAAATTGCTGAGACTGGCCTTGAACTAGTAATCCTCCTGCCTCAGCCTTCAGAGTCATTGGGATTATAGGTGTGCACCACCACGCCATGCCTGTGACTGCTCTTGACTCTCAAATTTAATACATTTTGGTGTTATTTTTGGCTGGGACTTTAACCCTGACACATGTTAAGTCCGCTTAATTCCACCTTAGCAGGTAAGGTCCAAGCCTTCTAACAGAAATAATGGGAAATACTGGGAAAAGGATGGACTGTGTGTGAGTCACAAAGGATAGCATTTGAATATCACCTTTAAATTGTGTGACCTTAAACAAGTAACTTAGTCTCCCTAAATTGTGGTCTCCGATATATAAATTGGAGAAAATAATACCGATTTCTGAACTAATTGCTATTTTCCCCCCATGAAAGCTCAGTGGTTGATAGCAACTCACCTCTTGAACTTCAGTTAATTGTGCTTTTGTCACTGCCAGGGAGGTGTTCCTTTCATGTAAGAGCTTCTTGAGTCGAATCAGTTCCACATTCTCTTTAATGGAATTGCTGCAGAAAGAAGATAATTCTGCAAATAGAGTTAAGCACCTTTGCTCCTTGACAGTAAACCAAGGACATGCCTTGCTTTCCATACTCTCCCACATCAGACCAGAACAGGGAGTTCAGTCTGGTAAATAATCTCTTTTTTCTATTTTCTCTTATGCCAGTTGAGATTTGATACTCTACTAACCTTAAACTCTTGTATTTTGAAAAAAAAAAAAAAAAAAACATTGTAACTAGTTTTTGTCTGTTTGCTTGTTAGCTTTTTTTTTTTTTTTTTTTTAACTATGGATTGAACACAGGGGTGCTTTATTACTGAGCCACATCCCCAGCCCTTTTTCATATTTTATTTTGAGACAGGGTCTTGCTAAATTGCTCAAGCCCTCTCTCAGTTGCTGATCCTGGCTTTGAACTCACAATCCTCCTGCCTCAGTCTTTCAAATCACTGGGATTACAGGCATGTGCCACCGCACCTGGCTATTTATTTATTTTTTTAATTTTAAGGCAGGGTCTCACTAAGTTGCTTAGGGCCTTGCTAAATTGCTGAAGCTGGCCTCAAACTCTTAATCCTCCTGCCTCAGCTTTCCAAGTTGCTAGAGTTATAGGTGTAACTATTTTTTTTTTTCTGTTTGTTTTTTGGTTTTGGGTTTTTTTGGGGGGTGAATTGGTACCAGGGATTGAACCCAATGGTGCTTTATACCACCAGCCCTTCTTATATTTTGAGACAGGGTACGGCTAAATTGCTTTGGGCCTGGCCTTGAACTCATGATCCTCCAGTCTCTGACTCTATGTTTTTTAAATGATGGTGTTTGCCATTTCTTATAAATCTAGAAAGTCCAAGTCTAAGACTTGTTTCCTTAGAGAAACCAGAGGACATGAATATAGACAAATGAGAGGTGATTATTTCTAAACTTATCATTATCATTTGAAAGATATTGGGAAGGATTTCGGCTCTCCTCTCTGCTGCTCATTAGAGCCACCTGGAGAGATCTTTAAATACTGCCAGAACCCCACCCCTGAGTAATTACAAAAGAATCTTTGAGGTGGGGCCCAGGGTTTGTGGTTTAAAAAAATCTCCATATTGAACACTTGTGTTCACACAAAAACCTGCACACAATGTTGTAGCATCTTTTTGCTTTTCTCTCATTCTCTTTCTTTCTGTTTCTATTCCTTTCTTTCTTTCTTCTTTGTAATACTAGGATCAAACTCAAGGCCTTTCACAGAGTGAAAGTACTAGGCAAGCACTCTACCACTGAGATACATCCCCAGAAATTTTTGTTTTTTATTTTGAGACTGGGTCTTACAAAAGTTGCCCAGGCTGGCCTTGTGATCCTTCTGTGTCAGCTTCCTGAGTTGCTGTGAAATCAGAGATCTGCACTACCTCACCTGGCAGCATAGGAGTTTCAATAATGCCCAAACTTAGAAGCAACCAAAATAGCTTTCAGTATCTAAATGGATAAATAAACTTTAGTAGATCCAGATAACAGAATGTCATTCAGCATTAAAAAGTAATGAGCTATTAAGCCATGAGAAGACCTGGAGAAATCTTAAATGCATATTACCAAGTGAAAGGGTTGCAACTATATGACATTCTGGAAAAAGAGACAAAACTATAGAAACAGTAAAAGGATCAATAGTTGTCAGGGATTTGGGGAAAGAGCCATTAATAAGTTGAGCACAAAGGATTTTTAGGGTAATAAATAAAGTCTGTATGATACTATAATGGTGGATATATATCTTTATACATTTGTTCAAACTTGTAGAATGTGCAGCATCAAGAATGAGCCTTAATGTAAACTATAGCCTTTTAGTCATAATGATATGTTAATGTAGGTGCACTGTAACAAATGTCCAGTCTGGCATGGGATGTTGATACTGGGGAGGCTGTATTGTATATATGTATATATATGAGGGAACTCTGTATATTCTGCTCAATTTTGCTGTGAAACAGAAAAACAAAACAGAAAATGTCTTCTGTAACAGGAGGACATCTAAAAAATAAAATCTATTTTTTAAAAAGGTTCTCTAGGGACTGATGCACAGTGAGAGCTGAGAACCCCTATCTGGTGATGAAATAGCTTTCTTTCAATGAAGAAAAGCAGCAAATCTATTATTCATAAGCATCCCCTTAAAGTTAATTCATTTCTTAACCTGGGAGGGACTTCAGGTCTACTTCTCAGGTTGAATTTAATCCTAACCATTCTTTTTTTTTTTTTTCTCTGAGATGGAAGAAAGATACAAATGAGAATCTCTTGCTTTTCCAATTCCTTATGGTTTGAGGCATGGAAAGTCAAATTCTTACCGTAGCTCTGCAGCCTTCTGGGCACACTCCAATGAGTTTCTCTGTTCAAAATTTTCATCTTGGGACCACATTTTCTCAGGAGGTGTGGGTGGTTCTTCCACTTGCATAGTATTGTTGGCCATAATGTGGGCACTGGTAAACAGGGATAGACCAGTAAGTTTAACCATAATTATTACTTTGTTGAAAGAAATTACTCTGTTAGAATTAGGAACATTAAACATGAAAGGGAGAAATAGATATTATTGTTATAGGACTTAGAATTAGGCTGTCATATTTCTAAGACATTATAAGATTTGGCAATATTGGTACTTGTAGAGAATAATCTTACAAAATATAGCCTTCAAATGCCAAATGGATACATAAATGAATTATAATATAAAGGGTAAAAATATAAAGGGGAAACGGAATACCTTCAGTTGAGGAAAGGACCTTTATTTTCCTTTCCTCAGAGGACAGAGAGATGCTTGTTTTCCATTTTTAAACATTGAAATTGGAATTTAACCTAGGGTTGATGTTCATCTTCTCTATGCTAGAAATCACCAACATTCACTTGTTCCCTAAATGACGCATTTCTAATTAAAGCTGCAGGGGTAACAGTGTGAAATAATTGAAAAGAACTCACAGTTCGCTGCTGGGCTTATTGGTTATTTCATCTCTGGTTTTCTCATTTGTCACCTGCTCCTTAAATGTGGGAGGGGCTGTGTAGCTCAGCCTGTCTCTTGACCCTGAAAGTGTAAGCAGAAGATGCAGTGAAGTGGCACCCCCTCTCTCCACAGAAAAAAATCTTAACTGGGCTTCTCCAGGAATTCTCATCATGGCTGATTTTGGGACTGTCAGCCAAAGAGTCTCTGAGAAAAAGTTCAATATGAATAAATTTCCTATTTTCCTGTTGCCCTGTTTAGCTTGGCCACTGGCCGGGAAGAGACCAGCACTCCAGGTGCTGGACACCCCCTTACTAGTTTTTCACAAACGTATCCAGTATAGCACTTTGAAGAAATGTGCAAACAAGGCCTCTGGCTTTGAGCTGGGCTTCACAGAGATGTCTACATTTTTAAGATAAGTTACAAATGGGCCCATGGTAACAGCTGGCAGGGAGAGGAAAGAAAGGGGAGATGAAGCTCTCCCTTTCTCAGGTGTTGTCCTTGAAGAGTTAACTTGCCCAGAACAGTGAAAGAAAAAGCTGCTTTTATGTGAACTTCTGCAGACTGCGAACTTTTTTTTTTTAAGAGAGAGTGAGAGAGGAGAGAGAGAGAGAGAATTTTTAATATTTATTTTTCAGTTCTCGGCGGACACAACATCTTTGTTGGTATGTGGTGCTGAGGATCGAAC